ATCTAAAGACTTTGCAGAATTTATGGAAAGTAAAAATATACAACACATAAGGGTGGCGGTGCATTCACCTCAGGTCGAAAGGGTTAATCGTACCTTAGTGGGCATGCTTGCGAAATTCAGTGAATCAATTCAACATGCCGACTGGGTTAAGCACATAACGAAAATTGAATTTGCCCTTAACAATACAGTTAATAGATCTATTGGAATGACACCCAGCAAAGCATTATTTGGGGTGAGCCAGCGAGGCCCTTTAGTTGACAAGTTAACAGAATATTTAGAAGATTGCCTTTCACACAGGGGGAGGGGGAATATGGAGATGGTGCGAGATATCGCGAAAGAAAATATCGAAAAATTACAACAATACAATCTGAAGCGCAGTCAATTGAAAAACGTTAAAGTAAATAAATTCCAAGTAGGCGATTTTGTAGTAGTGAAGAACGTTGACACGACGGTAGGAACGAACAAAAAGCTTTTGCCGAAATTTAAGGGACCCTACCTGATACATAAAATACTTCCGAACGACCGTTACGTTATCCGGGACATAGAAAACTGCCAGATAACCCAAATACCATATGATGGAGTCATAGAAGCTTGCAATATAAGAATGTGGACAACGAATTCTGAAAGTCGAAGCAGCACTTAGCCGCCATAATATAGTTTATGTATTTATTGTAGTCTTTATTATAAGTAACCCTTGGTTAACACTGGGTGACCGAGCGCGGTGACTTGAGTCAGGTTGGCCGAGTTGTAGTAGTTTATAAATTTACGTTTGCCTATTGTGAACTCGTTTAACTATTGTAAATAGCCTAACCATGGTGAACGTTTGTGGCGCTTGCATGTACATACAAACGAACGGTTGTTAATAAAATTCAATTGGCATCGACACGCAGAAGCAATCGGTTTAATCTATTTCGCGAAGAAAATATACTACAAATTAAAATATCTTTCAGAATTATAGAATAAAAACTCATTTAAAATGCATAATATGCCTTTCTCAAGTTCACACTCAACTGTGTGCGTACGCAAAGCATTCGCATGTGAACGGCAAGTTTTGACAGATGTTTGTGAGCGTCCATAAGAATATAAATGGAACTCTTTGCCTTTGCGAACGTACACGCTCACGCTTGCATTGAACTGTATATCAAGCGATACCAATTTTCGCCTGCTGGGCTTCTTACTGTAACTTCGAGAATAGCGCTTGCGTTTTCCGCTTGAAAAATTTTAAATATTCATTTGCACAAGACATTTTTATATATATTCATTTGCACAAGACATTTTTATATAAACATTTTTATATACACATTTTTTTATATACAACAAATTTTTATAAAACACCCAGTAACCATAATAAACATCACCGGGATGGCAGCCCCAGGTTTACCGCACAGAAAGGGAATTCTAGTTACCTCATCCTTTCCCAAGGCTACATCAGTTGGTGTACACCAAAAGGGAATTCTATTTGGTAAGGCCGCCTACGCAGAAAAGAACTCTACGCAAAAATACTGTGGACGCAAGTGAAAATTGGGATCTTTGGAAATTTTTCTAAGGGGTCCCTATGGAACTATAGGGGGCCTAGGTGGTCGGGGGTTGCATTTGTGTCATGCCCTCTCCAAAAAGCTAACATCGATACTTCAATAAATCGCGCTATAAATAATTTCAATATTTAATAAAACGTTATGTGCATTTTTTTTACCTACGTTTTGTGTTTCTTGGCATTTTTTGGTTTGTATGGCAGCACCAACATTTCAGTTCAATTGGTGTACAAAGGAAAAAGTGAGGTCGAATTCGGTATTTTTTGCAACTTTAAATGCGAATTACTTAAAAACTATAAGCCTCCGGAGGATAGGGTCTTCAGATTTAGAATCTGAAAAAGTTCCCCTATACTCCCTAATATTTTTTTTCAAGCCTGGATCCCCTGGAATTCTCCCTTTAAAAAAAAAGTTATAATTTCGTTTAGTTTTTCTAGAATTATGTATATAAAATATATAAAGATATGCATATCAAATAAAAGGTCGGTAGTTATCTATTTGGGCTTTCAACCCCCAAAATTGTTTGTTAATAACTTTTGACCGGGTAAAAAAGTCAATTTCCGCTGTAACCTCACTTCCCTCTCCTATCTGTATTGCCATAAAAAGAAGCCGAAGTATTTCTGCGCAGAACTTCTTTGTGAATAGGCGGCCTTCGGCCGCACTTAGGGATTATAACTCTCACAAAGTAAAATTCTCTTTCTGTGTTGCGAAGAAAAGGCGCTGAAAACCTTTCTGCGTAGGTTAATAACTTTTGATCCGGTAAAAAAGGTTAATTTCCGCTTTCGGATTCTTGTTATTGGGGTCCAGACGCGTCTAAAGGTACCCCCTTTCCAAAATTTTGATAAAATTTTGGGAGTTGAAAGCCCACCTAGATAAATAAATACCAAAAGGTCTATCAATTACTTTTCCAACCATATCCACATTTTTAAAATAGTTTTGGAAATATAAGCTTTTGAAAATAGTGCAAATTCCCCCTTTACCCCCTTTTAGATCCACCAATATTAATATCCACCAAAAAAAGTTTACACTTTTCAAATCAGAAGGGAGCAGGGCTGAGATTTCCATTACGGAACCAATTGCTGTTCCGTGCAAAGTATAGTGAATTTTTTTATGAAACTCGGTGGGGATACTAATGGGGGTCTCCTTTAACTATATTTATCACTTTAACTATATTTATCACTTTCACATTTTATTATAACTCCACACCTATCACTTTTAATTACACAAATATATTATCCTTAAAAGGTTCGCATGAGTTTGTAATACCTTAATATACAATTATTAATTAATTAATTAAGTAAAACGCGTTAATAAATGTCTTCACAAACGTTTGCACATTTCACAAACAAGCAGAAATAACAATGGCTGACAGTAACACAAAATGTATGCTACCATACGTTAAAAAAAATACACCACAAATAAATGCGTATAATTAGGGGCGTTCCTTATCTCCCAGAAGAAGTCAGAAAAAGTCCGAAGTAGTCAGATTTAGTCCAAAAAGCGTTCCTTAACTCGGAAATGACAGCTAAAATGAGAGAGCAACACCCAGTGAGAGTGACTCTCATCAGTCCGAAGTAGTCAGATTTAGTCAGAAGAATTTTTTCTGGCAAAATCCTGAAAAGTGTCAAACTCAACTAAATTTAAATTAACGGAAATAAAAGAATACGCAAAAAGTGAGAATAATCCAAAAAGTAAAAAAAGTGAATTGAAATTGGAAGGAGGCAAAAAATAATTGATATGGTAAGTGTTTATTGTGCTTGTGCTTGTGTGAATGTGTTTTATACATACATTTCCATTCTTATTTGACGTTAGCTTTGTTGTTGCCATTCTTTGGACTAAAAATTTGGTTTTTTGCGTTCCTTTACTTTTCCTGTTATTCTCTTTTAGTGAGCGCATTTTGCTTACGCTCTGGCATTTTGACACTTTTCAGATTTTAGTCCAAAAATATAGGGAATGAACCTATTAGGGGTATAAGTGTACAATACGTACATTGCTCTTATTAAAAATAATAATAGGATCGATAGGGGTCTTACTCCTGTAGTGCGATTCCCATTTTTCTTAACGACCGATATTCGTTATTGATAATGAACGATGTTTGTAGCTTGCAGTAGCGAATAGGCTATTCTCAAAAACACACTTAGGGCCGCTTACTCAATGTCTGGTTAACACTAATCTGAAGTTAAACATCGTTATCGACGTCTTCGACTCCATTCATACAACAGGGAGTCGGTAACGTCGATAACTATGTTTAACCGGAGATTAGTGTTAAACAGACATTGAGTAACCAGCCCTTAGTGCCGTAATCCGTCGTAGATTCGATTTTGCTACGAATCGTAAAATTGGTATGCTGAAATCCGCGTTGTCGTATCGTAATTTCGAAATTCGTATGCAATCTTCGAAATTCGTAATGTTGGAACGCCTGACTCCGACGTAGCTGTAATTTTTATGTATTTGTCGGAAATTTTGTACGAATAGCAACTCGTGTCGGAGCGAAACAAATTGTTTTAAAATATCAGTAAAATAAAGTGTGTAAACGCAAAAATATGTAAAAATGAATATATGAAAAAAAAATGTATTATTATTAAGTGTTTACAAAATTAACAGATCGAAGATCACAACAAATCGCTCGCAATACGAAAAACTTGTGGAATACATGAGCGAAAAGCCGGACATTGGTCGAGGCTTTGTAAAAGGAGCTAAAGAGGATGTGGTGGAATTTCGGGAAAGCGTTCCAAGAATTAAAGCGGCACAATATCTAGTGAAATGGAGGCCCTTAAAAGGAGGGAGCTTACATTTTATCATTTAAGCTAAATGGATCAGAACAATCTCTTAGCAATCTCCTTTGTATATTAATGCAACTGTAAGCTGTTCTTCCTCCTGGGACAAAAGTGCGCCGGCCACTGAATCCTTTGTATTCTACTTAATTAAGAAAAAGTCATTTCAAATAATGATTAAACTATTTTTTTTTTTAATTTCACTATTCACTTGCGATTATGTATATTTATTTTGATTTGTTTCTGCCAAAGCAGCTGAGTAAGAACTTCGAATTTCACTAATTTAGTTGGCAACGCCGTTGATAGTTACGATCGGATTACAGCATACCAATATTCGAATTTTCGGAACGGAGCTACGAATTCGTAACTACGAACTTTCGGATTACAGCATACGGGTGAATGCTTTCCATAATGCTTTTTCCATAAAAATCAACACTTCGATAAATAATGAAAACTTTTAATAAAAATCGCGCGATTGGAAAATTGTCCCTTTCCCGGGAGCAGACCACGCCCACTTTTAATTTTAGTTTTATCTCAACGGCCGCTACACTGCACATATGCCGCATTTGCTCCGCATTTAGTTTACAAAATTTATCAGAACAGATGTGGGTTTAATATGCACATATATATTTCAGTGCCTAGATGTAAACACTTCACTAAATAATCATTTTGCTATTCCACCGAAGCAAATACTTACATAGGGGTATTGCTAATTTACCCAAAAACCTTCAGAAATAATAATTTAACAGACAAAACTTTTCACCAAATTTTGATTAGAAGATGACTAAATAATTTATGATTCATTTATTTCTTAACGATCATCCATACCAGTGCTTTAAAACGATAAACGATGTATTTACTCTAAGAGCCTCTTCAGACTGCAGACTTTATCAGCTCCCGATTTAAGCTCGCTATTCAGTTTAATGCCCAGTATATACGGTTATAAACCTTTTCGCAATTTTTCACCAATTGGTCCCCGAGGAGCATGATGCTATAAAACAAGGTGTTGGACGTTGAGACTGCTTGATTTGAGGGTAATTTTTCCATTATGGCCTTTCGTTAAAGGTGTGGTGGGCGAAGGGGGAGTGGGCGTGGCACCACCAACCGACCTTTTTGGAGAGGGCATGAACCGCCATTGACAAAAATGAAACCCCAACCACCTAGGCCCCCTATGGTTCCCTACGGACTTCTTAGAAAAATGGCAAAAAATCGCAATTTTTACTTGCGTCCACAGTATTTTCACGTAGAATTCCTTTCTGGGATTATAACTCTTACTACGTTGAATTCTCCTTTCTGTGTGACCTAACTGGGGCTACCGCCCCAGTGATGTAACCTTGGGAAAGGATGAGGTAACTAGAATTCCCTTTCTGTGTGATAAACCTGGGGCTGCCGCCCCAGTGATGTCTATTTCGGTTACTGGGTGTTTTATAAAAATGTCTTGTATATAAAAATGTGTATATAAAAATGTATTGTGCAAATTAATATTTAACATTTTTCAAGCGAATAAACGCAAATGAAAATTGTGATTTTCGGCAATTTTTCTAAGGGCTCCCTAGGGAACCATAGGGGACCTAAGTGGTCGGGGGTTGCATTTTTATCAATGGCGGTTCATTCCCTCTCCAAAAAGGTGGGTTAGAGGTGCCATGCCCACTTACCTTTCGCCCACGTCCCTTTAACGAACGGCCATAAAGGAAAGCCAACCCCGATTTGATACTGCCTTAGCTCAGTACAATAAGAAGATAAACGGGAAGAAATTAATCTCCGTTTGGGGAAAATTTGCCTTTTTATGGTATATTCGTAATGAGATGAAATAAAATAAGATAAAATACTTGTCTAAGAAAATAAAATGTGTATACCGAGAAACAATAAGAAACATTCAACATTCTTTTGCAACCGAGCTACAAAAGAACACTCGCTTAAATGACGAAATACACGCAAAGCAACAACACAATCTCGGCTATTTATCCGAGTTCAGCCAGGTCGGTTAAAAAATACGCGACCTGAAGAGTAATGTTGTTAAGTGAAAAAACTACTCTATTGTGAATTGTTAATGAAAAAGTGGAGAGGGAAATTTTTGTTTTCGTATATACATGATCTATATTTAAATATGTATATATATTACTTAAATACCTCGCATAATTACTAATTTCAATTATTTTTTGTGTCTAAATGCCGTTGAATTAATCACATGTTTTTGCCAGCTACCAGCAGGGTTGCTTAAGTAGCAAAAAGAAATTTTACCCGAGTTGAGCGTTCTTTTGTCGCTCGCTTACAAAATAATGCAGCTATAAGCTATATTAGCCGTGTTTTATTTGTCCAGAAATTTAAGCTATCAGCTTATTTTGTATGGAGGACTTACCCAACATAATTATATTGGCTTATGAAAAGCTATCTTGGCTTGTATATTGAACAAGGGGCATTGCCATTCAGCATAAGAAATTTTCTCCTTCAGCCAGTCAGAAAGAGGCACAACTTACTTTGACACAATTTGCAGTCAAATAACTGTCAAAATTAGGCTAACATGGGAAATAAGCTAATTTCGTTTTATTTGACCAAGATTTAGCTATTTGCTTGTGATGGTTGAATAAAACATGCCTATTATAATGCAAAGAATGGTTAAAGAATTAACACTGTTTTCCCTAAGGCCCTGTCTCCACAGGAAAACACTTGGGGTGTTCACAGTTCGTTCCAAATAGTGTCTGAAAATGTAGACGTCTACATTTTAAGACGTTTTCTAACCGTAAAATCTGTGGTGTTGTTGTTTCCCATACAAAATTGGAAAACGACGCCGTCTACATTTTGTCACACTCAAAGGTATGTTTTTTACGCGTCTACATTTTGCAACCTCGCAGCAGGGTTGCATTATGGCAATACTAATCGCATTTTTTTTATTTATTGGGCACGTTTTCTATATTTGCATTTAATTTGAGCGCAATTTCTGATGAAAAGAAATAAATCAAGGAAAAGAAATAACAAATATTAGGAATTGGTAATTAAGTTAAATAATTACAATTTTTCAGAAACAAAATCGAAAGGCGACATATAAAAAAGCACACAAAGAAGAAATGTCTGGCAACACCAGCAAAGTTTTGAGACGATTTTGCGACGACTGCTAGAAAGGGGTGCTCACAGTTTGATGCTAAAGATGTCTCAAAATGTAGACGTCTACTTTTTCAGACACAATTTGGAACGAACTGTGAACACCCCAACTGATTTCGTGATAACCATGTCACAAAATATATTTCCATTAGAGACCGCCTATTTCTCATGGGATGCAATATATGTCAGCGCTTATTGCAGGACATCTATTGCAGGCAATTTGTTAGTTTGACAGCCATATTTTCATTTGAAAGAAAGCGTGCTGGTGGTAACATCGATGAAATTTTGATATTAGATGAATATAAAAATCTGTTCCCTATTGGATTATTTATGATTACGTTTTAGGAAATTATTTAGCAAGTTTTTTAAAGATTTAAATAGTTTTAAACACCGAAATTGGGAGAATGTTTTCTGGTGGCGTCGTGCGGCAAATGCTTATTTCATGACATCAAAGTGCCCACACACAAAAACTTGCAATCATATTGCTCGTCAAAATGACAGTTGTTAGGCCATCGGTGTTTGCCTGTGGAGTTCTGCGGTAAGGAAGTCAATAAAGCGGAATTAGTGCGAGAAGCTGCCAACATCCAACACCTTGTATTATTGCATCACGCCCGAGGAGTACTTTTGGGCTGTGTGTCCCACTTACTGTGGTTAATTTAGTCTCATTATTAGAAAAAGTTATTTTCGAGGATAAAATATATATAATTATGTGTTATTTATGAACAAAATGTAGGTTAAGTATAATATCAATGCTTAATTAGGAATAATAGCTCTGATCCAGTACTCCATGAACTTATAGGTTTTCCAAATTCCTCCAAAATCCTGTAAATGGGAGCGATTTTTGGAATTTTGTGTAGAGAACGAAGTTGCAAGATTTTACCTGGTAAAATCACGAAAAGTGTCAAGGGATCACTGGTTAACGTTTTTAAGCCCTGTATGCAGCTCTCAAGAAAACGGTCAAGAAAAAATTGCCATTATTTCGCGTGTGTGTCCAAGGAATTTTGACATTTTTGATACGTCACAGCCTGTTGCCTCACTCTTTCCTCAAGAAATAATGGAACGGGCATATATTTCTGTTGCAAACCTGGGTTGCCTTGTGCTCTTTTTTCACAAAAAACTTTAGAAGACCTTAGTAGAAAGCGTAGCCAATTTCTTAAGAACTGCGTACTGCCTTAAGGAAATTTGTCTCAAGAAAATTTCTTAGCCATTCCTTGTACGTCATTTTATATGGAGTTTTTGCTTTTCTTGAGAGCTGCATAAAGGCCTTTACAGGAAAAATGCTTTTGTTTTGCTACTTTTTACCCTCACTTCAGAGAGTAATTTTGCTGTTCGACATTTTTACAGGATTTTACATGAAAAGTATTGGATCAGAGTTAATATCAATAGTTAAGTACATAATTAACGTCTGGTTTTCTATAAACTGGAAAACTCAAATCGTAACTATAGCAATTTCAGATGGCCTATTTAAGTAGAGATTGTTGATTAACTTCAATAATTCATTTTCAGATCATTCATTTAAACTGTACATTGCCAATATTGGCTATTGAAATATGAGGTATGTATCCCTGTGTTTGTACCGAACAACCAAGATTGATAAGTAGGTTGTTTTATCAAACTTGTCAATGAACAAAAAGCTGTTCAGTACGAAATGTAAACAAACAAGCAAATACAACAACAATTTCAAGGAGCAAGCCAAATGTTGCCACTTGTTGGTATATTTAAATAAAGTTGATCTGAAACCCAACGAAAGTTAAATTTAAATACTAATCCAAAATTAAATTTAAGTGCCGTTTAAAAATTCACTTGAAATTGGCCCTTAATAAAGTTTTCCTAAATTTAAGTTTAAAATTTAAAAAATATCAGTTGTAAGATTAATTGTTTATTTATCAAGTAAAATTATAAATTTCCGAATATATTTAAATATTTATTAAAAAAAACAAGGTTTGTATATAGTTAAACGAGAAATGTCTGTCGGTTAACACCTTACAACGTACAT